TGGATGGCCAGGTTTTGTCCCAAAGTCAATTTATGTGCCTCCTTAGTCAAGAAGACAGTTGCTGCAAGTGCCCACAAACAAGGAGGCCGTCTTTGGGTACTGAGTCTAAGTCTTAGACAGGTAGGTGACTGGTCTTTCCCGGAATCCCAGGGTTAGAACTCTGGTGGCAACACGCTGTCTCTCACCCACAAACAGATTGAAGGGACAATTTCCATCTGGGATACCTAAAGCTGGAGCTGAGGCCAGGGGGCCTTTGTTTGCTTCAATGCCCCAGTTTTTTGCAAACTTATTACATCTCGTTTGGTTCTGGGTTTTTTCAGTCTGTCATAAAATGGCCTGTTTTCTTCAGCATACCAACGTATCCAAATTCAGCAGAAACCAGCTGGCTCTAGAAACACTCTGAGTTTCCTTTTGCAGTCAGGCCATGGAATGTAGAAAATTACTTTCTTTCTGGGCTTAAATGTCAGAGCCCTTTTCTAAATCAAATCCTAAATATCTGATTTTTTTTACAGACAGATGGACAAGGATAAGACCCATGGCTTATGTTAAAACTCATAAAGACCTGTTCACTTCCATCACCCACCTCCCATCCTGCATTAGGATTCCTTCCCCAAGACCACCAATGTTTCCATTGGCCCCTGCACACACTGTAAATCACAGGACCTCCGACTCCTGATCTCCTACGTCTGGTCAATGGCACTCATCAGGTCCTCCAGAATTAGGCAGACTGTTGGCCCTGTGTTCCCCTTTCAGTCCTTTCCTATTGAGTCTAGGGCTCACCAAAATAATTCTAAACTCAATTCAACTAATATTCCTGATTACTTACTTCAGCTCTATCCTACAATAGTATGGGGAAACTCTTCATGCTTCCTGGTGATATAGGGGAATGAAACTCCTGACCTACTATATGTCCAGAACTAGTTTGTGTTCTCTAAAATCAAAGAATGAATTTTAGGAATGACAGAGGTTAAGAGCAAAAATATTTATTGAGAGAAATAAAGCTTCTGTCTGAGAGAGAGACAGAAGGGGTCCTGAGTGGGTTGCCAAAGATTCTGTATTTTCTTGGGACTTTTATAAAGTAAAATCATGACATAAGGCAGGTCTAAAGTTAGGGAAAATTGGGAACTCGAAAAGCAGATGGGCATGAGATGGGACAGAGCTATGGTCAACCAGTAAGTTTAATTGTTTAGGTAAAATTGACCAAATCAAGGACAAATGGGGAAATGAGTCATGTCAGTGACTCTTCCTATAGAGGGTTGGGATGGTGACTCTTGGCTTCTCAAGGTGACCCAGACTTAATCCCTCAGGATTATACTTAAGAGTGTGGCTGCATTTGTTTTGCCTTCTGTCCCGAAATCTGACCCACAGCAAGATGTGTGTGTTTCCTCCAAGGGCATCAGACATTTGGTCCTCTCTGCCGGCTTCCTCCAGCCTATAATATGTCTAACTAGCTCAGCTGCCTGTAACACTCTCATGGACAGGAGCTTTGCTGGGACCTTTAATAGCCCTCTTGGCTGTTCTTCTAGGCTCTCATGTGATCCATATTCTGACATGCTTCTTGACTAAATACTTTGAAACTATATACCACCAACTCCTTTTAAAAGCTACTTCCCCTTACCAGCTCCTTAGTACTGAGGGAGAAGAATCTTCCCAATTATAAAAATGAGGGAATGTAAAGGCAAAATTATTGAATAGCAAACTTATAAATATTTTACAGCAGAAGTTAAAAATCGGTTAGTGGTCTGTGCTCATGCTACCTGTCATGTAATTTGATTGTTAAACTCAGCCTTGACTGTCTACATCCAGTCACTTCTCCCAGATAACACACTAAGTCAACTTTGCTGTGACCATCTTTAATGTCTGTGTTTTCCTACCTAGAAAAATATATACAGTTTTTCCATCTCGCTTCAAGGACTTCATGTCTGGGACAGATTGGTCCAGTCAAGGATGTCTTTAACTCTACTTGCTCTGTTCAAACCCCACTCCCTCCCTCCCAGGATGTCCCTGCCATATGATAAACAATTCCTTATAAGTAAATCTGCTTAAAACAAATCTGGTTGACAACATATGACTTGATACATGTAAAAAATCTTGTAATCACCTCTGAACAGCTTTGTATTTCCTGATTGCTAAATGTATTTAAACTGATCTCTAAACTGACTCTGGGCTGATGATTTGCACTCAGATTGAGTTCTCCAGTCCACAGGAATTAAGAAACAAATTACCTTCCAAAGTCACCAGTGCAGAGCATTTTCTTATTAGTCCAGGATTTTTGCACAACAAAAGCACAAGGTTGTGATTTCAATTCCCAGTACCCCCCCAAAAAAAAAAGAAAGAAAGAAAAAGAAAAGAACTGGCGTTGCTTCAGGGTGCAATTGCATTGCTGGACAAGTGTGTTCTGTCCTGACACTTTACTTGAAATGGTGCAAGCTCAAGCATGTTAAAGGTAAACTTTGTTAAATACAAACTTTGTTACAAAAATTTATGTGTAGATAGGTGTATAAAACAAAGAACTTCTTGTAATTTGTTTTATTTTATTTTGTCTTTTTTGAGACAGGGTCTTGCTATGCAGTTTGGGCTGGCCTTGAACTCATTTTGTAGTCCAGGCTGGTCTCCAACTCCCAAAAATCCTCCAGCCTCAGGCTCTCATGTGCTGGGATTACAGGCGTGCACCACCACACCCAACTAACTCCTTGGGATTGTAGAAAGCCCTTGAGACAGTACTAACTCACACAAGTAGGCATGAGTTTTCCCTCTTAACTCTTGACTCTAATTTTATCTGAGCCAGACAAACACAATTTCAATTTGGTATCAAAAACTTTATTAAGCCTTAAATCCCCAACATAACAGTATTTGGAAGTAAGGACTTTAAAGAGGCAAACCTGGTTAACTGAGGTTGAAGGTGTGGTAGTTTAATGTGATATAACTGTTGTCCTTAAATGTAAAGCAAGAGACACCGGGGATGCAGGTATTTAGGGAAGACACCTGGTGAACACACAAAAGATAGCCTTTCCCAAGCTTCAGGAGAAAGCAAGCCTGTCAACACCTTCATTTTGGACTGGTGGGAAGATAAATGACTATGGTATATGATTCTACAGTATTTCACCATGAATTACCTAGCAGACTCATTCAGTGGCTAGATTTGAGACTATTCTGTCACATAATAATATGTCATATACTTCCTCACTCCATTTTTCCAGTAAAAACACACATCTTTCCATCTCCATTCAGCACCCAAAATTACCTCAAATGTTTAGCCCCAAAATTTGCAAATTAAGAAATTAAGTAAAATTTCTCTGAACAAACTCTATGTTTGATTCCCTCCGATTATGGAAAATGCACAGAGATAAGTCTATCAAATGAGGAACAAGTCTCCCCATGGGTCTTCCTTAAGAGAAAGTAGTAGAACATGATGACTATACTGTGGGTGGGTGACCCTGTTCTATTTTAGACTGTGACGATAAACAAAATTCTTAGAGAAAGATGAGAGGAAAAGAAACTTATTTCTGATATGACTGAGTACTTCCATGCATTAAAAATAACCAATACCTCCCTCTGCTGGCCCGAGTAGCTTGCATCTACCTCTGTGCAACTGCTTCGTATGAAACTGCGGCTTTTCAGAGCAGTAACTTGTCTCAGGTATCAGTACAGCTCCCAGCACAGAGTAAGGATTCAGCGCATGTTTGGAGAAAAGACCTGCCCCTCTAGTTCTGTCCTATGGCGGTCCCTACCCAGGCAGTCTTTAAAAGGAGGCAGCACTGAGCTGTGAGGCTTACTCATGCATCTCACTCCTTCAAGAGAACACTCCTGCTGCTCCTGACAAATCCAAAATCAGCCTCTCTGGCAATCAGTTTTCAACTTGGCAGCTTCTAATTGAGTAGGAAGCTCTTTCCCATTTAACTATCTTGGTTTGCATATAACAGGCTACTCCCACTTAGTCTTGGAGCCAGGTAATCTCCAAAGCCACCCAGTGACGCCTGCAGGGCCCTCTAGCACCCAGGACCCTTGCATGTAGTTGCTGATCTCAGTTCTGGCGATTCATTGTATAAAGCTACAATTCAAACTTAATTGAATGTTTTTCCCCCCAGAGTTAGGTTTCATCGTAATCAAACAACTGCACTTGAATGAGGCTCCTCACTGTATGGGTGATGGACCTCGTCTATCAAGTAAGCTATGAGATTTATTCACAGGATTCTTTCCCCTCCAAACTCTGTGAACTTAAGAAACATTTCGTGTATGGAAAGGTGACTCTCACTGCCATCATTTTGTTGTTTCCATCCTTTGCAATGCAGTTCCAAGCTAATGCTTACATAAACACTAACAGGGAGAGGAGACCCTAAAACTGAGCTGCTCTGAGTGGTTTCTCGAAAAATTTAACACTTCACCTTTCTTCTAATAAGCTCAGATCTTAAAGAATGTATTTTGGGGACTCTTGTGGGCGCCATGGTGACTTGCCGGGATAGCGCCCCTTGATTTACTAAGAAAAGTGAGAATTTAGCAGAATAATGAAGAGAAGGCAAAATGCTCAGTCCTCAGCCAGAGACACAGAGCCGGCCAGGTGCAGCTCCAGGCTGGGCCCCCGCTCACAGAGCCAGCTGCAATGGACCTAAACGACCACCAGATGGTACTCGAGGGTTAGGAACCCTGGAAGAACTTTGGGGGCCTTCCAGCATGCTCCAAGGCTGGAGTCTTGGCCAGCAGCAAGCAGAGCTGTAGACACCCCGCCTGGAAGTCAGTAGTCCTGCGAGCTTTGATCGGATTCGGGCGCTGGCAGGGGCCTGAAAATTCCTCGAGCCTGGACCTTAGGTCGGGAGGCGGGGCAGGCGAGCAAGCGGCACTCGAGGCAGAACTGCCGGCCTGCGCTCACCGCCTCTCCCTTCGCGAGTGGACTTTGTCCCCACCGCCCTCCCGGGACGCTCGGGACACGGGACGACGAGCAGCCCGCACCTGGGCACCGCGCGGGGACGCCCACCGCTGGCGTTGCGAGCGAGGATTTGTGAGGCTGTGCTTGACGAAGCTGTCCGGTTTCTGGGTTTTCTGGAGGGGTTTTGGTTGTTTTGTTTTGCTTTGCTTTTTCCCTAGTCCCGAAGAAAGAGCTTGGTGCTGGACCATCTCAGAGGCATGAATTACGCACGGTTCATTACTGCGACCAGCGCAGCCAGAAAACCTTCTCCCATCCGAACCATGGGTGAGATGCAGGGCCAGCGCCTCTCCTGCCCGGGTGGAGCCTTCCCGGCCACCCTGGGCTGTGTCCCCTTGGGCACAGGGGGAGCTCACTGGGCACCAAGCTCTATGAGCAGCTCCCGGGGTGGGCAGAGCCTTTGTTCTCAGAGAAGGCAGCTGGAAGGGAAGGCCAGGCACAGAGCGTTTGCAACAGTGTGGAGAGGTAGCAGCCCAGAGGCGCAGCCTGCCTGTCCTGCCCTTGGGGCGCATCGTGGAAGGGAGGCCGTGGACAGAGGCCCTTCTGGCAGGACAGAGCGGGCAGGCGCAGTGTGCAGAAGCCTGCGGGTGGAGTGGACTGGTGTACAGGAGAGCAGGGCTGAGCCAGGAATCCACAGCAAGCCCGGGTAACTGCAGGAGGGTTTTCTGTTACTGTGGGCCTTTGTTTATTCCTGGCTCCTCTGCCCTTTCTCTGGACATCCTCTTTCTTCTGTCCTCCCACTAGTGAGGAGGCGCGGAAAAAGTTCTTCTGTACTTGTTTTAGACTAGCGTTCTATCTTAGACCATGTGGGCTGCTAAACCAAAGCACCATAAACTGATAATTTAGAAACAACAGGAAATTGTCACAATTCTGAACGTTGGAAAATCCAACATCAAGGTGCCGGCCCATTCCATGTCGGGGTGAGGACCATTCCATGTTGAGGTGAGGGCCATTCACGTGGATGGCTCCTTGTGCCTGTGTGGTCACATGGTGGGAGAGGGGAACATGTGACCTCACTCGGGAAGAGGAGAAGGGCATCCCTCTGGCGTCTTTCTAAAAATCACTTATCTCACTCATGAGGGTGGAGCACTTGTGTTCTGTCATGTCTTGAAGACTCCATCTCCTCTTACTGTCACATGGGCTGTTAGGGTCCAGCCTATGAAAAGGGGTCACTAATCTTCACATGATAGCACTTTCTGTACTAGAAATTATCAAACTTCCAGCTGACCGTAGTGCATACAGGACTGTCTCTAAGTCTTCAATAAAAGTACATGTTCTTTCCCATGTTTATCATAGCTGATGTCCTGAACAAGGCACCAAAATCTCTCATCTCCTTGGCTCCTGGATTTCCAAACCCGGACACCTTCCCCTTTAAGAGTGCTGTTATCACTTTAGAAAATGGAAATACCATCCAAATTCGAGGAGAGACCATGAAGAAAGCGCTTCAATATTCTTCAACTTACGGGTGAGTTTTCAATGCATAATATAATCTTACAGGTTCATTTTCATGTCCCATTTGACTTGTGTCTTTTTGAAAAAGTGTTTGATGGTTAGGGAGGCTGAAGAAAAGGTTCCATACAAATATGAAATATTTAGTACTTCTCAGTGATGACTTTTCAAACTTAAGTGATTAGGAAAGCGAGATAATGTTCTAGAAATGCCATTTGAGGTAAGTGTGAATGAAAACGGAAAAGATGCTGGGTGAAGAAATATTGAAAGAAAGGAGGAAATCAGTGATATAGGGATTTCTAGTGACATTTTAAATTGGGGTAATTTTCTAATACTGTATCTATGCCCCCTTTTAAGCAAGCAACTATGCAAATGCATTTCACAGGTTCAAATGTCTAATCTCTGACAGGCAAGCAGAAACATACCTTAAAACTCTCTTTATCTGGCCTTGAAGTGACAAGGGATACTTTATGAGGTCTACATATTATACTTTATTACAACTTTTGTTATGTGATTGAAGAGCACATTGAAATGTAACATACAGGAATTACAAATAGACTTTTTTTTCCAAGACACATAGCACATATTCAGCCCGAACTTCTAGGCATCCTATGGGAATCTCCCTAAGGAAAGTAAGGAATGTATTTACAATGAATGCTCCAGTGTAAAGGACAGAAATTAGAAATTCAGGCTTTGAAACAAGGAGGATTTAGATTCAAATCTCAGTTCACTGATTAATGAATGATTTTGGGTTAATTTCCACATAATTGAATTTATATGAATTTCCTAACCTCTAAGTCTGTTGGCTTAGCTTTTAAATGGGAATATTGATATTGCCAAAAAGAATTTGATAGTTTTAAATTGAATAGATAATGAATTTGATACCATTTACTTTCTGTCTACTGTTAAAATGAGTATTATTACTATCAATTTAAAAATACATCTTGTGGTTATAGAATTCCAGAGCTTATATCCTGGCTAAAACAGTTTCAAATAAAATTGCATAATCCTCCTACCCTCCATTATGCACCTAATCAAGGACAAATGGATCTCTGTGTCACATCAGGCACCCAGGATGGTCTTTGTAAGGTAAGATTGAAAGAAAAAGGTAGCCAAGATGCTGAATCAAATATGTTACTAAATGCAGTCATCTATCACTTAATCATAGAAGGATCATGTTTTGAAAATTACTGATCATCTTTCTTATTCTCACATAAAATGATAAGCAGGAAACTTAGAGACAAAGCATAGGACAGAAAGGGGTAAAATAGGCAAGGCATACAGGTGGGAGCTTTAACATCACATAAACATCAAGCGGAAATACTTTAGGTTAATCTGTTAATAGTGCCTTCTAGATTCTCTTGTGAAAATTAAGACTTTAAAATGTTATCTGTACATAGTGACATTCAGCAACCTGTTTTTTCTTTTCTTTTATTTTTGAATTTTAATTTTTTATTTAAAAAAAGTAAAACAGAAAAAAAAGGATGGAAATGATACAGAATTTCAAAAAAGAAAAAAGTAGGGAATTAATACTAGTTAATGTATTGCACCTTGTTATCTCAGAACTAGTTATTCAGGTTACAAAATCGAGATACAAAAGTGATCAATCAAACAATAACATCACAAACTGTTCTTTTTGATGAACTAAGAGAGACTAGTAGAACCTGTTTTTTCTTGAACACATAACTTTGACAAATACCCTGGAATTGTGAGCCATTAAACTAAGATTTTTTGCCATGAGAACATTGAAATTCTCTGAAAAGCTTTGTACACTGCTTAATTTCATCTGCCTCAAGGATCCAGGTCAGCCAATGATTTCTAGTTCTATGTTTTTGTGAAACTTCTAAATGATTTTTAGATTCTTTAAAAGGCATACCCTAATGCTCCTGGCATGCACACTTGATTCCTTTGCATGCCTGTTGATAGAGTCTCTGCTTACCCTGGCTTCTATTTTGTCTTCTCCTTGGTTGTATTTCTCTAGATTCATATACTGATATTACCTGACTTTCGATTGAATTATTTCTTGATAAGCCCTTCCTAAATTGAAAATATGGTAGGTCCAAAGTTTATTTAATAGACCTAACATACTGAAAATAATATCTTCGTGGTGCAATACACTGTGTAGACTATATGTTGTTCAAGATTGCATGCCCAACCTGGAGCTGCTTCTGGCCAGCATTTTATGAGAGTGTCAGACTGCATATTGCCAGCTCAGTGACAGATCAATATTCAAAAATCAAAGTACAGCTTCCACTAAACGCACGTAACTTTCACACCAGTGTTAAGTGAAAACATTGTAAGTCAAACCATTGTAAGTCAGGGACCACTGAATGTGTCTATTTCTAACTTCTGGGGTCAGTTTCTTTTCTCACTTTCTCTATTCTTCCTCCCCACCCTGAGCTCCTTGAACCTCCACAGAGGTAACAACCACTGAGTAGACCTCAAAATAAAAGAATGTACTGCTGGTCAGTTTGATCCATTTCCTTTTTTTCGATGAATAATTAGTACTGGAAAAAGAGTCAGTGAATTCAGTCTTCACATCTGAATTACAATGACTCATCTCCATTTATCTCAAATCAGAGTAACTTTCTTTTTCATTTTGTAAAAAGTGTGATCAGATTTACTTTAACGAGTTTTAATTAAATTATTATAGAATAAGGAATTATAGTAAAATGTTCTTTAAAGATCTTTATGAATAAAAACTATTTTTCTTCCTATTTTTGGAATTTAATTAGGAAACGTAAAAAGATTAGCTACTGTCTGAGTGTTTGCCTGAAGAGAAATGTTTGTGATTCTATGGATTAACATTTTAAAAGTGTCATTCAGTAAAATTGTTTTCTTAGGACAGGATTCTGTGAACTTTTTCCCACTGGGGGGAAAAAATGCCAAACACCATTTCTTCTGTCTCTGTCATATCAAAGGAAGGAAGACAGAATTTGTGGTCAGATAAATCACTAGTAAACTGCTATAAACAAGCTTCTTATAAGGGCCTTAGCAGGAATGTATTACCATCTCATCCAGTTTCTTTCCCAAGACAGATGTTACTTTAGGTTCCTATGTTTGGCTGAATCTTTTTGATGAGACGCTCTCCCTTTAAACTTACAGTATTTTATGTTTGCATGCTCCCTAATTGACATGGAAATGTACATTATCAGAATTATTTGACATATTGGTAACTTTCCTGCCACCCAAGTGTTTTTTTTTTTTTTATTGTAACGTCCTGCAAACCTGAATCAATTTGAAACTTGGTGGAGAAAGGTACTGTATTGCATAAAATGTCAAAAGCTCCAGAAGAGAAAGATAAATTGAACTTCAAATGCCAAGTAGAACAAGTCAAAACTTCTATCTCAAGTGAAAATTGCCTTATTTTTAATTTTGAAATGTAGATTGTTAACATGATAGGAAGCAACACTTGGAGCCAAGATTATGGAACATCTCTCAGATGTGGGTGACTTTTTGGTTCTGTGCTTCAGCAAATGACACCTTCTCATCTGTCTACTTTGATAGCCAGATGTCTAGGAGTTCTTCTTGAAAGCTGTTTGTCACCCCTCTGCAGTTCATAATTGTATCCTGTTGGTTTTCATTTCTTTAATTAATATTATTGGTACACCTCTCATATACATAATGATCACATTCGCCATAGGGGATTTGAATCTGTACAGAATGTATGTTGATTTTTCTTCTTTTCCCTACCCCCTTCCCCTCCTCTCTGCTTCTTCCCCTCCTGTTTGATTTTTTCTTGTCTTTTTATTCATTTTCGTTCCCCCTCCAACCTTCCTTGTTCCCCTTCCATTTAAACATTTTCTTCATAATTCCCAATATGTATCATCCATTTTCATCCTTATTTAGGCTTTTGGTATCTTACACAAGAGAAACAGTGTGATATTGAAATGTGTATCTTGTTTCACTTAAAAGTATGGTCTCAAGGCCCATCAATTTACCTAAAAATATCTCGTTTATTCTTCTTTATGACAGAGTAATGCTACACTGTATATAAAAAGCACATTTCTTTACCCATTTATCCAATGCTGGGCCTCTGGCTGTTTCCAAGATTTAGCTGTTACAAATTGTGCCACTATATACCTGAATGTGAATGTATTGCTGTGATATAATGGCTTTAATTCTTTTAGGGAGATACCAAGGAGGGAAACTGCTGGGTTAAATGCAACCTCTAGTTTTAGTTTTCTGAGGAATCTCCATACTGATTTCCATAATGGTTATACCAGTTCATATTCCTACCAGCAATGGAGAAGGGTTCCTTTGTTCCCACAGGCACACCAGCATTTGATCTTGGTTGATTTCTTGATAATAATCATTCTTTCTGGAGTGAAATCTAATCTCAGTATTGTTTTCATTTGCATCAATTGGCCAATGACATTGAGCATTTTTTCAGATGTTTATTTGCTACTTGTACTTCTTCGTCTAAGAAGTGTCTTTTCATGTCAGATATCCATTTTTTATTTTTTTTTAATTTTGACATCTAATTTTTTTGAGTTCTTCATATATTCTAGACATTAATGCTCTGAGGAACAGCTGCTTAAAAAATTTTCCCATTCTGTGACTGTTTCTTCATTCTGTTGGTGGTTTCTTTTGATGTGCAAAAGCTTTTAATATGATGAGATCTGTTGTTGATTCTTTGTAATATTAGCTGTGATATTAAGGTTTTGTTCATAAAGTTTTGACTATATATCACTCTTCAAAAGTTTTACCTGCTCATTAAGTTGTTCTTTTTTAATACTTAGATCCTTGACCCATTTTTATTTTAGTTTGTTGTGTGATGAGAGATATGGGTCTAGTTTTAATCTTTGGCATGTGGAAAGCCAGTTTTCCCAACACCATTTGTGAAAGAGGCTCCCTTTCTGCCAGTGAAGGTGCTTGGCCACTTTGTCAAGGTTAAGGTGACTCAATGTGTTTGGAGTTTTTTTCTGCATCTTGTATTCAGCTCAGTGGTCCTCAGGTCTGTTTTATTTGTTTTTGTTTTTTGCCATTACAATGCTGTTTTTATCTCAATTGCTTTGCAGTACAATTTCAAGTCAGGGATTGTGATGCCCCTTGCCTTGCCTCTGTTGCCCAGAATTGCTTTTGTTATTATAGGTCTTTTGGCTCTAAATGGGTTTTACAGTTGTGTTCTCTGGTTCTGTGAGATATACAATTGGTATGTTGATAACTTTTATCAAATTGAGATAGATACTATCTATTCTCAATTTCTGTGGGATTTTCATTATGAATGAGGTTTACACTTTGTCGTATTTTGGAGGGACATCTATTGAGATGATCATGTGGCTCTTGTGCTTGGTCGCGTGAATGTAGTGTATTAAATTTAACAATTTGAGTATGTTGAACCATTCCTATATCTCTGGGATGAATTCTACTTGCTAATGGTATAATCTTCTAGATGACTTGCTGCATTCTGTTTACCAGAATCTTTCTGAGTATATTTACATCCATGTTCATTAAGAAGATTGCCCTGCAGTTCTCTTTTTTGTTTAGATCTTTCTTTCATCATGGTATCTCTGTAATACTTACTTCCAGGAATGATTTTGTGAGTATTGCTTCCCTTTCAATTTCATTAACTAGTTTGAGGAGTAGTGGTGTTAGAACTTCTCCAAATGTTATGTACAGTTTTAGCATTGAATCCATCAGGACCTGGGCTTTTCTTTGTTGATAGGTTTTTAATTATTTCTTCAATTTCATTAACTGAAATTGGTTTATTTATTTTTATATCTTCTTGATTCATCTTTTGTAATTTACATGTATCTAGAAATCTGTTCATTTCTTCTGTTATCCATCTTACTAGAATAAAAGTTCTCAAAGTAGGTATTTATTTATGATCTTCTGGATTTCTGCAGAATCCATTGTGATCCTTTTTATTCCTGATTGCATGGATATGAGTCTTTTTTTTTGATAAGATTGACTAAAAGTTTGTCTATGTTAGTCATGCAGAGAACCAGTTCTTCAATTTATTGATTTTCTGTGTCATTTGCTTAGTCTCAATTGCATTAATTTCTGCTCTGCTCTTTGTAATCCCTCATATGTGCTTCGGGCTTCACTTACTCATCTCTCTAGAAGCATGAGGTTCAACATTATGTTATTTATTTGGCCTCATTCAGTTTTCCTGATGTGGAAATTCATAGCTACAAATTTCCCTCACAGGACTCCTTTCATTGCATTTCATAAGTCCCAGTATGTTGTACTGGTGTTACCATTTAAAGTGTAGATATAGTTTCTTCATTAATTTCATGTGTGAACAATTGATTTTTTGGGAGGATGTTATTTAATTTCACAGCATCCACTGGTTCATCTCTCTGTGAAGTCTTCTTGGAGTTACCCTCCATGGAGGCCCCTGGATTCACCTACACTCCGTCTCCCCAGATTCCAACCTCCTCTCATGCTGAGATCCAGGAATCAGGAAAAAGATTAGTTTTGCACCCCCTTTTTCTTCCCTGAAGTCTCTTCACTTTCCCTATGGGCTCCAGTTCACCTTTTAGATTCTTGCCGCTTTCTGAGGAGCCACCTCTCTCCTTTGTTTCCCCAAGTTGTTATGTTCTAGTGTTTGGACTTGAATCTCACAGGATGATTTGCTGCTGTTTTTTGTTCCACATCTTCCTGGAAAGAGCTGGTTTTCATTTCCTAACTACCTATCAGTTTCCCATGACTGCACCCCACTTTTCAGAAGTCCTTATCTGTCCCCAGAGCTGCATCAGCAACTTCCAAACAAGCCTACATACTTTCCAAATATTTCACACCTATTCTTTTCCTGCTCTTATTCTTTCATACTTCAACCTGGGGAATTTTTCAAAACTATATACTGATTGTGTGACTCCTCCCCATTCCCTTCTTAAAATTCTTATACCTTCTGTCCAATTCACTTTCTCATCACTAGGACTCAATACATGACAGCCACCGTTTAAATGAGGAGCAGTTGATTTTGGCTCACAGTTAACTCCATGGTTGGCCGCTTTAAAGCAGAAATGACATCATGGAAGGGTCTGAGAGAAGAAAGCTGTTCATGTCAAGGCAACAAGGAAATAGAAAGGAAGGAGCTAGACAGGAGGATATACCTTTCCAGGTCATGATCCCACTGACCTGCCCATTCCATCCTGCCCTACCTACCTAACAGCACACGCAGCCACTGAACACATTAGTGCTGGAATCCACTGATTAGTAACAGTAGCCCATGATCCATCACCTTCTGAAATCCCTTCCTCTGAGACTATGAGAGTTTTGCAGAAGATTCTTGATTTCAATCATAATAACACTCTTCACCTGAATTCCTACCTACTACAGCCTGGTCTCTCTCTATACTCCTCTTCATAAGCCTCAGGCCTCAGAATTCTTTCAGTTTCTGAAAATGTCCTTATTGTCACCACAGCACCAACTCTTCACCCCTCAGAAAACTTACCTGAATTCCCTGAATGTCAAAGTGCTGCAACAGGCTGTATGTGATATTGTGTTCACTATCATTACATATATAGGTATATGGGTAGTTGGTGAGTTCTTGTGTAACTTTTCCAGGAGACCTGTAACTCTAAGACAACAAGGACCATGTGAGTTTGTCCGTCTTTGAGCTCTAGTACTTCACAGTGGCATGACTGGTAGTAGGCATTTAATATGTTCTCAAAGAAGCAAGAAAATGAATAAATGAATTTTAGGAGCCAAGCCAGTCATGTTCGTTTTTATTTCCCTAGAAAATAGGTTGATGCTTAAGAGTCTCATTGAAATTCCCATCTGTAGATACAGTGTTACTGAACTCAGCCACTCCCATTTACTTTTATATTGGTTGTGGCTACTTTCTCACCCTAGAAGCAGAGGTAAGTAGTGAAACAAAGATACAAAACCCACATAACAGTTATTGTTGGGCCTTTTATAAAAAAATTTATCAACCCATACTATAGGGTCATGTGAGCTCAAACTAATGGGGTTCTAAGAATGAAACAATACTATGCAAGGTAATGTATGTTTCTTTCGCTAGGCATTTGAAATGATAATTAATCCTGGAGATACTGTCCTCCTAAATGAACCAGTTTATCCAGGAACACTCCAAGCTGTAAGTATACATTTTTGGGAAATACCAACTTTCTTATATTATTTTAAAAACACTACATTTTTAGAGTTATCAGTCCACTGAATAATAAAGCAGCTTTCATCTAGAAAGGAGAAAATCTTAAAAGTGATATATGCAGTATGTTAAATGTACCCTCTGTTTCATACATTTTTCTCTTTTAAAATTTAACAGAAGCCATGTAACAGAAAAATTAAATTCATTGTTGCATGTCCTTGGGTTGGTAGAAATGTGGGGTGGAAAAGTAATCACAACTCAGAAAAACTCGCTAACCATCAGCCTCACCCACCTGACTGCTCAGGAGGCGAAGCATTGCTCGTGGCTTCAGGTCCCCAAAGTTACCTCCAGTTCTAATTCTAACTATGTGAATAGCTCAGTTAAAAGAGGCTGCAGGACACTGTGTGATGCAGGACTGTCGTATCTCAGTGGCTTATGCCAGTATCACTTTATTCCACAAGGACACTGCTGCTCAGTTCTGGGCATCTTCATTCCAAGCCCCAAGGTGACAGAAGCAGCCTCTGTACAGAACATGGCCAATTTCAGAGCAAAGGAGAAACAAACCTAGAAAACTCCTGCGAGATTTTTAAAGCTTCTTGAAGGAACAAATGTCCCTTTTGCTCAGTTTATTTGCCAAAGCAAAAATATGGCCAAACCAGACATAAATAGAGCAAAGAGAATATAATCCATTCCCAGGCATGGCTATGCATACTTGCAAACCCAGCACTCTAGGAGGCTGAGTCTTAAGGATACCAAATTCAAATACTATATGGGAACCTTAGTGATACCCTGTGGAAAAATAAAAGATAAAAAGAGAAAAAGGAGTTGGGAGTACAGCTCAGTGCAAAGACCTTGGGTTCAATTCCTGGAGCAAACAAACAAACAAACAAAAACCCTCAGTAGTTTCCACTGAATCTACTCCAGTGTCAACTTCTGGAGCTCAACTCAGGGCAGATTTATGTCTCTGATGATAGAAATAGTAACATTGCTAGTTAGTATTTCCTTAAGTTACACTTACGTTTTGTGTGTCTTTCTGACTTCTGAACTTTTTGTTATTGTAACAATGGTTGTTACTGTTATTGTTGTTTTGGGTTTGATTTTGTTTTGCTTTTTGCTTTTTGGTGCTCCTCAGCTGCTCCCCCTGGGCTGCAACATTATTAATGTCCCCAGTGATGAGTTTGGGATGATTCCCGATGCCCTCAAAGAAATCCTTTCCAAATGGAAACCAGAAGATTCCAAGGACCCTACCAAAAACACCCCCAAATTTCTCTACACTATCCCCAATGGCAACAACCCTGCTGGAAACTCACTGACAGGTGACCGCAAGAAGGAGATCTACAAGGTATTTCAAAGAGTGTTACCTGGTGGTGTTTTTATTTCTCCTTTTGTCATTTTAGATGAGTCCGATCAAGTTCCTTTCTTATTACCTTCTTGCTTTCAAGAAAGATATTTTTAATAAAGAATAAAAAGCTCATCTATGCTAAGGACACTAATAAATTTCTATGTAGTAAATTAGTACTACTTTCATTTCTGAGATTTTTTTCTTTTCCCTTAAGTGATATTCTACTGCAAATGAAATAGCATTCTTGCTACGATGTTAACCTTTATGAGATTATTAATATTTAACCTCAATTTTGATTTTCATTACATTCATGTTTTTTTGTTTGTCTCTTCTTGCTATTCCTTTTCATTTCACAGTTCAAAGAATTCCTGAAAAATAAAACTGTGTTCTTTATCTCTAAAATCCCTTTTAGATATCAATAAAGCCTGGCTTTTCACTGTAAGCATTTTCTCAAAGTAGCAAATGCATATTGAGCAATACCAAAGTCTTTGTAAAGTGAAATATGCCTTTTATAAAAGCTCTTTTCTATACCTGAACTATGATCGATAACCTTTTCCTACAAATATCTTTTTTAAAACAAGTTGCAAATTCATGTTAAACTATATAAAATTGAATCATGTGCAGTGGATCATAAGCAACATGTCATCTGTCAGCCAGTTCTTTGTACTTTGAATAAAGTTCATATGTCTTTTCCTGTTTTTTATACTCTCCTGGGTGCTCTCCTCAGCTCTCTGCTCTGTTTAGGGTTCTCTTGAGACAGCGTCATCTCTTTCCCTGGAAATATCCCATTCCACATTGTCCATCACCACTTCTTCCCTGACACCAGTCTTCTCTGTATAACTTTATGCCTGATGTCACCACAAGGATGACTAACAGCATTTCAGACTCAGCCTGGCCTTAACAGAATGCCGTGTTTCCCCAGCACTCCCCAAAACCAAACGCAAAACCGAACGCAAACCCCTCTGCACACTCCATCTCTGTGAATGACCTTAAACTGCAGAAACAGTCACTCTTCATTTCTCACTTTCCCTGCTCTCCCTTCCCTACTCCACCACCAGGATTATCCAAATCCAGTCTTTTTTCTCCACTACGATTTATAGCCGCCCCTTCTAAGTCACCACCTGCCCTTGCTAGATGGATGACCTGGTCACTCACCCTGGCTGTGTTCCACTGTTGGTCTCTAACCCCTCATTATTTGCATGAGAGAGAGATCTGGTTCCCACCACATGGTAAATTAAAAATTCAGGCTCAGAGTTCTGCTGTTCACAGTTCTGCCTGACTTCCCCTTGCTGTGAAGATCCAGGTTCTCTATCTAGCTCTGCAGACCGTGAGGTACAGTCCTTTCTATCCTGAGGACTTCTCTCTCATCATCCGTGTGGACCACTTGCTGCATGCCACACTGCCTGTCTGGTCCTTAAACATGCCAAGTATTTTGCTCACCCCAAGAATCTTTACTCTCACTCATCCTTCAGACTAGAATTTTTTTTTCCCTGATATTTTCACCACTTCTTCCTTTCATCCCGCACTGTAGCACTATCTTGTCGGAAGAGCTCCTCAGCGAATCTATGTGAATAAACAGGCTGCTAATCTTTCTAAAGCAGATCTTGTGTGACCCTCTGGTTGGAAGTTAACTCCTGCCCCATATAATGTTTTTCAGTCCATTATCCACAGGCTCGTGCACATTCTGTCTTTCCCCCTAGGATTTAAGTTCCATGAGAACAGAATCCTTAGTGCCTCCCTCATCTTCCTCCTCCCTGTCAGGGATAACAGATCAACAGATTCTTGAATGATGAGAGAAGGAGTACAAAGAATTATCATTCTAAGTGATTTTAATTTTAGATAGTAGTTATCAAATATATTATTTTACCTTTTTAGCTTGCAAGCAAATATGATTTCCTCATAATAGAAGATGATCCTTATTATTTTCTCCAGTTCAACAAGGTGAGTGATGATGTGCCTTACTTCACTATTAGGAGATAAATGTTGTTGTAAATTGTTATACTCTATTTGAGATTAGCCAGACTGGTGAATCCATTATTAACTTGTAATTAAGTGAACTATTTATTATTAATTTACTATCACTTTAATATTACAGTCTTCCAGTTTTATCATGGAATTAGTACTTTTTATTTTTGATATAGCCACTCTTTTTACAAATTATTCAACTTCAGAATAGTAACTCGACCTAAACCGTGAGTACAGGCAAAAAGAGTAAGTCAGGCTGATGGTCTTGAACTGCAAATCCTAGCTCACAGCTCCTTTAACATCATCTGTGGGATATTGAAGCAGGTTTTACCATGAGTGTCCACTTCAAGCTTGTTTTGCTGGCTGACCAAGTTGTCTAATAAGGACTGAGAAACTCTGCTCAGGCTGAAGTAGAGCTGTGCCCAGTTAGTGCTGCTCATTTGTGGACACAGACGAAAGCATTACCCACACACCAGCCGTGTCCTTCATGCCTGGATCTTACTTAAGAATCATGGACTCTTAGGTTCACCCTCACTTTGTACGTGTGCTACCTGACATGATTACTGAATCCCAGTGGAAAGAAGAGGCAGTGCAGACTACCAATGACTGGTTCATCAAAATCTAACACTTTATTTGCTCCCAGAGAACATGCAATTGGATTCTGTCACCCACTTAAGTCACCAAAAAGAAACAAACATTCTTGATTTCTCTGTATTGTTTGACTGAACAAAATTCTGCACATCTTGATCCACATTCTTTCAACAACTAAATGCTTCTAGTTCTCTTCATTTTGATCCTGTCCAAACTAGCTTTGCTTGAATCCTTCCTCTGAACTTCAACCCCTGAGACAAAGAGGTTTTCCTAAATGCACAGTGGTGGTGTCTTCAGCAAATAAGGGAGGCCTTGTGATTGACAAGAACCCCATGAACACAAGCAGATGCTGGTAAAAGAACACACATATCAGGTTTTTACTCCATGGAAAGGGGTTGAGACAAAGATAAGAGATAGCTGGGTTATTGTAGTCTAAATCCATGCCTTCTCTGCTGTCTAAAAACAGCCCTTCAGCAATGTTCACAAACCAGTATAATTTTCTTCCCATTTTAAGCCCTGGGCACCAACATTTCTCTCCATGGATGTGGATGGGCGTGTCATCAGAGCTGATTCCTTTTCAAAAATCCTCTCCTCTGGGTAAGGTCCATGTCTCTAACTTGATGCTAGTCTCAGTATCTTTTATTCCAAACAGCTCTCATTTAAGAAGCATGAAGCTGGGCAGGGTGGTGCATGCTTGTATTCCCAGCACTCTGACAGGCTGAGGCAGGAGAATCACAAGTCGGAGCTCAACCTAGGTGATTTAGCCACTGAATGGGACCCTGTTTTAAAATTAAACATTTAAAAAGGGATGGGGATGTACCTCAGTGCAAAGGCATGGTTCGAGCCCCACTGCTAAAAAAAAACTTGAATTTCATCTTAAAACAGCTTACTGATTATTAACAACTAATGATCCTTTTCTCCCTTTATTAATCTCCAGTAATCAAAGATAGTTTACTGCCATGGGTCAGAATTTTAGTATCATAATGAAAGAACAAATTTGGAAATAATTCCATTTGCATTCTATAACTGTACTCTTACATTTGTATCTAAAATAAGTACTGGGTTTTATTAGAATGTTTGTTTTTCTAGATCCACTTTTCCCAGGTCAAACTGTACCTAGTAATGAAGTCAGTTAAGAGATACGTTGATATGGATTGAATTTGAGCCTTCTCTCTTTTTGTCTAGGTTGAGATTAGGGTTTGTAACTGGCCCAAAACCATTAGTAGAGAGAATTGTTTTACACACACAAGTTTCATCAATACATGCCTCCAGTTTTGTACAGGTAAGCCTCATTTATTCAATGATATTTTTAAAAATCAGTATAGAAAGTGGGTGGTGACAAGTAAAATTACGTTAAGGTGGCAAAAAAGAAAACTCACCAGTGCTGGATCTCCAGTTCTGATGCAGACCAGATCCCACAGACATGTACTGTGAAACACAAATGAGCTGTATGTATTAGCCTGGTGTTCTTCTGCAGTATGACCCAAACTCCTGGAGCATCTAGATATTATACTCATTTTTGCGCCCCTGTGAGAACACCAGAGTGTTACTCTGTGGAACTGAGCTGAATTTGGTGAAGCAGTACTAACTTTGATTTATTATCTTGGGCCCTAGAAAGACAACAGGAAATCTGAACTGTGACTGTCACTGCACATGTGCTAGCCACACCTACAGATAGGAGTTGCAACACATTATAACCATGTTTCCCTGAAAATAAGACCTACCTGGAAAACAGATTCTAGCATGATTGTAGAAAAGACATCCACTGAAATGAGCTTTGATTTTACTGCAAAAGATGTCATAGGATTCATTCTCAGAGATGCCTCTTCTGAAACCATGATGTAATTTGTGTCTCCATGTAGGTCTTATCGTCATAGAACCTGGGAATAAAGTAAAATTAACCTCCAATACTGTATAAATTTCCTCAAGTGTTTTGAGAAATTATTGTATTTGGAAATTTTTATAATCTTGGAAATTGAATTGGAAGGATATAACTGCTACATAAGAACTAAAAGTGAATTAAAAACTTTGCCCTCTTCGGACCTCTCAGATTGTACATTCCATAAAGTTTAGCTGTCTCAATGTTTTACCTAATTAGAGGATTTTTCTATATTTTTAATATCTGTCATCTGCAGTGGTCCAGTATCCATTTATACCTATAATAGCTTCTATTTTAAGTAGAAAATCTCCAGATATAATATAGAACTTTAGATATACCATTTCTATTTTAGACTGAGAATATATCTCCGTGATACAGCATCTGCTTAGCAAAGACAAAGCAATGGGTTTGATTCTCACACTGCCCAGAAAGGCAGGAGACAAAAAGAATACTCCATATTCTTTTATGTTTAGGCTCAGTATAGTCTTGCAACAAATACCTTTAATGTAGTGCTTACTTCACATCTGAACTCTGTAACTAGCTGTTGGACAGCAAAAAATTAATACGTGTGCCTTAACTTCCTTATTAATAAAATAGCAATAAGCTGATAATAGTTAAGTTATAGAAAGAATAGATTGCCAGAACCTGGTAATATGTTTCCATAGTGCCTGGTAAATCATGAGGAGCATGGAAATATTTGTTGTCTTTACGACTGTTGTTATCATGCTTATGAACATTTGTCATAAATCACTGACTGCTATGTGCCATTCAGCATATTTTCTCTTTTTATAATGGTAGTCTGGAGTAATTTGTTTCTGCACTTGGCAAACACAGACACTTTTAGGGACTGAACCATGACAGATTTCCTGTTCTCTCGTTTAGATCATGGTATTACAGCTTCTACAGCAGTGGGGAGAAGAAGGTTTTCTGGCTCATGTGAACAGGTATTTAATCATTTATTAAGACATTTATGAGCAAAATAGGAGCCCCACGAACCAAGCACACAGCAACACAGTGTTTCTTTGGTATCCTTCCTAAATATCCTAAGCTAAATGATAGGAACAGTTTATTAAAGGTCAAAAGCCTGTCCATTTTAGTAGCTTTTGTGTCCCCTAGAACGTCTTCCCAGGAGTACCCAAGGTATCTCCTGAGAGCAGTGTCAATACAGCCCCAAGGTAACATGAAATTTCCTCCAGGTTAGAATGCATACACACAAGCATTCTATTTAATAATTCATTTACTGTGAGGGATACATGACATAGGAATTGACTCACATTCTGATTAGTAAGAATAAAATTTACCCAAATAGTCAAGAAATGGTGCAAGTTATGAGGTGCTGGGTTATGTAAGTATGGTGCCCCCTAATACCTGTAAGAGTGGGTGATAGATGTAGAAATAAGGAGAAAGGAGGTGCCCTCATTCCCAGATCACAGATCCAAAATTCCAATATATTGTCTGTGATACTAAGGTCTTTCCTAACTTAGAAATGGCAACCATTACTTGAAACAACTAAACAAAGATCAATCCTCCTGTTTCTAAGTTCTGTGTCTTACCTAGTAATGTACTTTTTTGCTCTATTAATTTTTATTTTTAATAATCCACAATAAAGATCCAAACACTAGCAAATGTAGGAACTAGGCTAGGAGCTTTATACCTGACCAAAGGATGACAAGAATGAAAATCAAAGAGATAAATAATCGTACTTAAATATGAGGTTCAGGGGAGTCTTGTCTCCTTTCAACAAAGAGCCCAGAGTGACTGGCTCACCCAGCCTCTATTCACTCAGCCACAGAAACAATTGTAGTAACACAGAATTTGTATGCCTCCCACCTCCAGGGTATATACTTGGGTAAACAACAGTATCTTAACCATACTAACTTTTCCCTGGAACCCGCAGTATGTCTTCATGCTTGCATGTTGCCTTTCTCCTTAAGTGCTCACAGAAGAGGCAAACAGACCTCAATCGTTTAATCTGGTCCCCCCATGAGTAACAATGGTTAAAGTTGATCACTAGACAAGTCAACACAAACACTCTCTTGCCTCTTCTCAGGTATTCAACGTTTTAATTAAGGGAGAAAACAAATTATTTTATTTCTTAGCAAATTTTGTTTGTGCAGTCAATGTACTGAACTTACCTTTGTCATTATTCTCTTCTCCCAGGATTATTGATTTCTACAGGAGTCAGAGGGACGCCATCCTGGCAGCTGCAGAGAAGTGGTTAAGTGGTGAGTGAAATGTACATCTGTCCTCAGGAGAAACGAGAACACCTGTAAGAGTGAGTGATAGATACTGGATATTATTGACAATGCTAGTGAAAAACACCAACCTTGAAGTGTTCCTGAAAAAGAAATTTTCTCTACAAAGGATTTGACAAGTAACATTCTACGAACCCCAGTGCAGTTCTACCTGTTTCTACTCTCCGTTGCAAAGATTTGGGGATCTTAAAAAATAATCAAGTGCTCAATCAGTAGCATATATACTAAAAATATTTTTAAAACTCAAGTTTAGCAGTAGTAGCTTACTTAAAGCTAAATAACATCCATCTTCAAACTTTTTATTTCTTTCAAACTTTTGTCCCTAAACACATATGATCTGTTTCTAACTAAACTGTATAAAGACAAATAGTGCAGTCTAAAGTAGATGCCTTATTATAAACTGATTCTATTCTAGTCATTAACCGCATTTATCAGTCTAATATTAGCTGTTGATAATTAGATTTCAGGACATGTTTGAATTACTTTCTATTATGGAAAACATAAGAATTGTATGGCTTTAACTGTATCATTTCAAATGCCTGCTGCAAAAAAAAACGCCTGTTACATAAACAATAATAAACCATAAATGCCAGTTCATTATCTGTTACATCTAATTCCCTATAAAATCTGAATAAAAATTGAATTATTATCTATTTGATAATAATTTTGCATAATTTCATAATTTTGCATAGTAACGATGAAGAAAAAGTGTAACTACAGAAGAACTTCTTTAAAATTATAATTTAAATCAATGTAAATATTTCTTTTTTATTTTTCTATCTTAATATTCAGTAGAACACAATACTCACAAAGGCATATGGAATACTTGAATTTTAAGTATTTCTTTTCATAATTAATTACATTCTGGTAAAAACTAATACACTGAACTGCTAAACCATTGCATAAGTGATAGGATTAATTGAAACACAAAACAGTCCCAGAAAAGCTGAAGAATCATCTTTTAAAACTGAAGCAACCACGCTTGGCTTAGGTATGGTTCTAATTATTTGAGGAGAGAGAGGCATTGTATTTCTTGTTCCCCACTAAAGGGACTATAGTTATAATTGTTCACATAGTAGCTACTCAGTCTCTTCCTGTGACCCATACACTGACTCCTTGAAATAAACCTAAAATGTCAATTTTCAGGGCTTATAAAATTACATTGTTAAAAATGTTGCCACTAAAGGAATTTTTTTGGAAGTGTTAGTTTTTAATTACTGAATCACATCAAAGAACTATTTGATGCATATTCCTTTTGTGTGTAGGTCTGGCAGAATGGCATGTTCCTGTTGCTGGTATGTTTCTATGGATTAAAATTAAAGGCATTTCTGATTCACGGCAACTGATTGAAGACGCCACTAAGAAAGAGGTAAAACTGGGAGGTCGGTGGAAGGGGAAATCTAAAGCAAAGTTACTTTCTTGCTTACAGTGATTTTTTTTTTTTACTTGACTAGAAATTAAAAGAGGTGCTTTATATTGCCAACCTCCAACTCAGAGTATTCTGATATTAGGTATAATATCTGATTATTAAAATGGTAACAAAGGTGAAGATTACATAATTATTCCACAAGTCTAAATTAAAGGAAACGCATCTCAGCCAGTGGTTAGCACAGTGACTAAGAGATTGCTGTGCAGCCATACTCTGTGGGTTTGAATCCAGCTCTGCCCACTACTGGACACACGTCTCCAGGCAGGAGGCCCTGCCTGTGCTTCACCTGTAAAGTAGAGACAGAAAGAATCCCTCCCTGATAGGGTTGCTATTATGATTAAATGAATTATATTTGCAAAGCATTTAGACTAATACCTGGCACATAATAAGGGCTCCTAAGTATTAACCTATTGGTATTAGCTCAATTAGTATTTCAAATGGAAAAAATGTTTCCTAATGATTTAAGTCAACTGTACTCATGGTAGGAAATTAGGAAAGTGCAGAAGAACACTATGAAAATTTTAAGAACCCATCATTTCATTATGCCAGTTTTTCAATGATTTATTGTGTATTTTATTAAAGAGCTTTTGTGTATTACATGGTTTTTGGTTGTGCAGCTATTTTGCAAAGTTAATATTACATTGAATGGATTGTGTTATGATTTTTCCACTTAAAATTAGTTCTAATAGGTTTGTCTGTCTGTGTATCTGTTTCTTCTGTACTTAACTCATGAGTCTACTTAAATTTCATTTCTGGGCGTTAAATTCAAAATTCTAACTGAAATTTTTCTGTTTAGCTATCTAATGTACCTATTATGTTGCCTTTTTCCATTAATTAATTTCATTATCATATTTGTCAGTCAGTGTTGTAAACACTGAAATTATTTCTAGAATCACTGTTGTCTTGAAGCAATAAGTAGAATAAAAGAGATTGGGTTGGTTATACAAGATACCACACAGAAGCATGAGACAAGCCACTCTAGAGGTTAAATCTAGAGACAAACTACAGAGCAAAGTCATTATCTTTTCTGGCTATCTTACTTGACAACAAGACTTGTGCTTTCTCATTGTTCTAATCTTAGGAGAGGGGCTGGGGATGTAGCTCAATGGCACAGCACCTGCCTGGCAAACCTGAGTTTCCCAGTACCAAAAAATAATAATAATAACTTTCTAATCTTAGCAGAACCACGTAGTAGGCATTTAATATATACTGACATATTTCAAATGAATGTATTGTAATGTAATAAATGAACTGGATATTTTCTTTGCTTTCCTATCAAATCCATTTTCATTAAAACCCTCCATAAGTGACTTATTTGTATGTAATTCTGAGCTAATTTCAAAGGATGCCTATGGTATTCTACTGTACTTTTTTTTACTCTCTTTGTTTATTCCATAATTCTCTTGGATGTTCCTTTAACTTTTATAAAGTCCCAAGCTTTATCAATACTGCTTTCACATGGATTTTGGTTTCCTTACTCTCTCTGACTAATGGTTATTGTTTCTAGCTCATCCCTAAACTTTTCTACTATATTTAGAGAAGACTGGTTAGTGTGGCTACACATAACTAAAAAGGGGGTAGGAATGCTGTGCGTGTAGCTAGTGTCTCTGTGTGCTTATTACACGTGCATGAGGTCCGGCGTTGAATTGCCAGACAGAAAGAAAGAAAGAAAGGTTAGGAGTAGAGCGAGGAGGGAAGGGGAGAAGGAGAAAAAGGGAACCAGTGACACACAAGCATCAGGAAGAACTATTATTCTCCGGCTCCATCTTAACATACTTAGTGAGCATACATTTTTAATCTTTCATTTTATGTGCTATTTTTACCTCCTATTGTCTTTTTAATATACCATTTTGTTCTCGTCACATGCCCTTTTTCATCTTTCTAAAATAGTTTTTTCTGCTTTTTGCTAGGCCAGCACCTTCATATCTTAAATAGTCCAGCTTAAAAATAACTGTCAAATTTGTTAACTGTAATGATCTCCCATTTATTTTGCCAGTTAGATTTTTTATATTTATTTCTGTTCTGTTAGCAAGCTATCTATTGTACATTTTATTGTTTCTTTTCAGTTCCTGTCCAGTCTTTAAAAGTAAAGAAGCAATAGTTTCTATCCATTTAGTCTTCTTTGTTGAGTGACACACAATTTTTATATAAACCAGTTTTTTCTTTTGTGAATTCAACTGCTTTTAAGCTTGGACGCTCCTCTCACTCTGAGATTAGGTTTGTCTATGTTTTAACCATTCTTCAGTGGCAGCATCACTTACCTTTCACAACCTCTCAGGTTTTACTGGTTCCAGGGAAGGCTTTCTACATTGATAGCTCAGCTCCCAGTCCCTACTTCAGAGCGTGCTTCTCCCTCGTTTCTGCAGAAGAGATGGACATGGTGAGTATGGCGTTCTCTTCAGAGCAGCCCCAGGCTCTGTTCCAGGTGTGGGTGCATGTGCTACCTTCGAAGCTAAAAAATTGCTTACTGTCTTCTTGTGTTTCAAAAACCCAGATATTTCTAGGCCATTGTGAATTACCATGAAGAATCCCCTTTTACTTTACTATTTGACTTCTGTAGATAAAGAGACTGAACCAAGTAAAGTTTGACTCTTTTGTGAATAGCTCTACAGAATAGTGCCAGACACTGCCAACATTTTATAGGGGAAACCTCTTTCCTTCCTTCTCTGAATAAAAGCTCTATTTCTGCTCACAGTTTCAGGAGATTCAGCAGGTAGTCAGCTGACATCATGGTAGACGAAGGTGCTCACTTCCTATTGGGCAAGGACAGCACCACAGAGGGAGGGACCAGGGAGCACAGGTAGCCCCCAGGGTCCCACCTCAGTGACCACCCAGACACTCCCAGCAGTGTGCTGTATTAATCCTCTGGGCAGCTCCCACGCCCGTCAGTTCAGTTTAACCATTGCACTCAGAAGCACTAATGTTCTTATTCACAGTCCAGCTTTCACCAAAATAATAAGGAGCAAAGTGCTATGCTTTGTGCCTAGCTATCCCACCAAAGCCTCATTCATTCATGGGGAGTGGGATTTTTTCAGAGGTGGCTGAATCTAAAGTATGTGATTGATTGGTAGTGCAATGTTGGCGTTAAAGGTGCTGGGATTAAGGTGAGCAGTTGCTGGATCAGTCCACTGACTGGATTGGCACTACCCTAATCTGGGAGACTGGGTGCAATATAAGGGACAGACAGAGGCTTGTCTCGTCTCGCTCTTCCCTGGCTTGTTTTTGCTACCTTCCACTGCCATGAATGGTTGCCCTGTGCCATGTGCCATCCTGCCTTGGAACCAGCCAGTTATTGACTGAAATATCTGCAAACTGTGAGCTAAATAAACGTTTCTCCTTTTAACTTTGGGAATAGGATATTTTGTCTCAGCAATGAGAAAAGTAACTAAGACAAAAAGGGACAAGAACCATAGATGACGCATCTGGAAATCCAAAAGGCAGAATTATAAATTAAGTAGTACTATTTACCGTTAGAGGAGGGTAATCTTGTTTGGGGAGACTTTCTATATTGGTGTCTTCATTCTTTACTTGTTTGCTTGTATCCTTAAATATGCTTTCTAAAAATTCTCTCTGATTTTATGTATGAAGCATATTAGACTATATAGAATACAGAATGCATTTTCAGGTGGGATAGTACATGAAGATATAAAATAATATGTGTTGTGGATAAAATACAAAATGATGATCATGAGGGTTATAAGCACCAAAAAATTCCCGATAGTTTTATGTGGCTGTATCTCCATATTTCAGGAGCATTCTGCCCAGTTGATATCCAACTCAACATCTCCTTGCCTTATCTCAAACTCAGATGAATACTGACTGAATTTTTAAAGTCTTGATTAACTTGCCAAAATGACATTCTAATTTCATGAATAATTCTTATCTCTTTTCTATTTTAGGCCTTCCAGAGATTAGCTCAAATTATAAAAGAATCTTTGTGAAGAAATTCAACTAATCACAGTACTCATGGATTTTTCACATTATTTCTACATTTTCTCTGGAGGGAACAATTATTGGTGTTAGTCGTAAGAAGTGATACCAAACATCGTACATGTGTATCTGTAACCGGACAACTTTTTAAATGCCTTTAAATCTATCAGATTGCAAAAATATATTTGGAAGCCATTTAGGCTTTTCATTTTTTAATCTGCAAACAATTATTTTTATCTTAGATTTTACCGTAAAGAACTCTGTAGCTGCCTTAAAAGGTCCTATAAATTTTCTGAAACTAACATTTTACACTATATTATTTTAAGAAAATAATTAAATTCAAAACAGTATATGAGGTGTACTTTTTCTGTTTCTAGGGAAATTTAAATGAGAGCTTATTACAAAATTGTTACAATTTGGCCAGTATAAATGAGTTTTTAGTAAACATACCAGAGATATTAATGTTAAAATATAGAAATCTGTTTCAAATAAAATTTCTGAAAATAAACATATCTAAAAGCATCATACATTATTTCTAAATTAGAAGGAGGAATCATGGGTTTAGGAAAGTTTACTACATTGTATTTTCATAATACTATATAATTTATCAAAAGTGCATTCTTATCAGCTATGTTATTGAAATCTACTACAACCCTTTGAGGTATTAAGACATACTTTGTTAATGATTTTGTCTTCTTTTTGGCCTTGAGCTCACTTTGTAGCCTAGGCTGATCTGGAAGTCACAAGGATACTCCTGCCTCGGCCTCCCGAGTGCTGGGATTATAGGCGTGAGCCACCACACCAGTTTTTTCCTCATTTTTAAAGTCTTTATTTTCCCATCTGATTATTAAAATAATGTATGCTTATCCAAATTTGCAAACAATGCCGAAAGCGTAAGGCAAAGAGCAAAAGAAACTTGCTACCTCTTCTCCACTCATAGCTGCTGTCAGCATCTGTCATTCTTCCTGTAAGTTATTTTAGATGCATACACATGTCCTGTGTAACAGGACAGGAGCTCATTGTAGCAGTGGACCATACATACCATTTACTTGGTTTCTATCTTCATTTAATGGATTACCAGTGTTTCAAGGTCCACTCATTGTAATTTTTCAAGTTCCTTTGAGGAAGTAGGACAATTATGTCATTGTTATTTATTCCATCCCTTGTGTAAGTGAACATCTCCATTATACATATCAATTGTTTGCTGATTTGGAGGCATTATCCCCACGCAGTAAATCCAACAATTACTCTGCTTTCTTACTACAGCATAATTCCTTGTTTATTCAAAGTAAAGAGAATAGTACTATGGATTTTCCTTTTAATGAAAGGAAAGGCTTTAAAATAGCAGGAAATGGGGGGAAGAGGAAAGAAAAAAGCTTTTATAGTGGCAGTGATGTCTTGATCTATGATCTTGAGAAAATCATTCACATCTAAAATTCCTTCCATAGCTACTAGGCACAAACTTCCCTAGTTATCTTTTTGGGACCTGACCAAGATCCCCCATTGCCTGTATCAAGGGTACAGCAAGAGGATAAGATAAGAAAGAAACAAATTTAGTAACACATGATTAGTAACTGGGAAGTCGATGCCTATGGATGGACCAAGAGAGTGATTCTCCAAAGCAGCCAATATTTATTGGGTAGTATGAACATTCAAAGTTGGTGGAATCTATTCATGATGAGCTCTTCCAAGAGAACCAATGGCTCAAACAGCAACACTTAGAGAAACCCACAACTCCTCACTCATCTTCTCCACATCTCTATTTATACTGGCAACTTTCCTCAGGTAGAACATCTATGCTCAGCACCATGCTGATTTAATTCAGCTGGTGTTAAGTTGACCACCAGTTTTTAATCCATAACATCTCCATTTATCCCTTAGGGAAGTAGGCAAAATTAGCCATTGTGAATTTGAGGTCCCCAATAGTTGCTAACATGTGTAGTATTATTAGAAGCATGATTCTTGTAGTAAATATTTCAAAAGGGTCAATCTGTGTTTTCCAGTGGGAGTGGATCTGGTTGCTATTAAAGTTAATGATTATACCTTCGGAGATGGGTGTCCAATTGATTCAATTAACTATTCCAGTTTTCCTTTTTAAAATGCCATTTGTCCTTTCAACCTTTCCAAAAGACTGGAGTCAATAGGAGAGACAATCATGCCATCATAAGGTAACATATCATTGAAGTGCTTGACAATTTGTCGAGTTAATGGGCTGCTTTGTTGTCTGAGGTTTCTCTAGGAATGCCTTATAAAAGAAGCACATTTCTTAATAAGTTCTTAGCTGCCATTACAGCTCCTTAGCTTCCATTTCCTGCATTGGGAAAACTTCTTTACAACCAGATAATCATCAGATTATTGAAGGAACAAACCAATACCCAACTTAGAGTAACAATTGAGTGTAGTCTATTTACAAATGATCAAAATGTGAAAAAAAATTAACTTCTTAAACCAGCTGAAAATGTCAGGCAAAATACACCACCTGACATTTTGATTGTCTTCCAATGTCAGTGATGACAAACCTATGTGCCACAGTAGGCATGCAGAGCTCTCTCCGTGGCCATGAGAGCCCACTTGTCCCATAAGCCCAGCATGGATAACAGTTGTTTTTTCTAAACTAAACCCTCAATGTTTGTATTTAATTAAAGTTTTGACATTTTGTGATAAGTGGGTTTGGGGTTGCGGTTTGAACACTCCATCTCTGAAAAGTTCTCCATCATTCTCCTAGGATTGTCAGTTTGACAAATCAAATACTCATTATAAAACATGGTATCATTTTAGAGTAGTCATCGCAGCAATTTAGATCATCTTGTCTCTACAGTGACAAGTTATAGAATACAGAACCTTTAACAAAGGAAGCTTCAGGGACTTGAGAAAGACCAAGTGGTTATTGATCTCTATGAGTCATACTTGGCACTGAATTTACTTCCTGTCAGATGCCAGTTTTGTTTTTCCAAGTCAAGTGCATTGCACTGATTATTATATAAGTCATTTAGGAGTGCTAACTTGTATCCATGCTATGGGGCTCATTCAAGTTGCCTGTTCAAACAATTTTAGCACCAGATGAAATAACCTAACATTAACATTTGCCAGGAAATTTCCTTTATACTTAGGATCAGTTTTACAGGTAGGGCTTCAGTCTATATTGACCATTTGTGATAGCCAAATTAATCTTGATGGAGTGAATCTTTTTATGGGGCCCAGTTAGGAGTATGAAACACTTGGTTTCCATAACAAAATTATTGACTATTCCCAAACTATGTATACTGTCTGCATAAATTTTTGCTGATTAGGTAAATGACAGGCTTGAGTGGCAACCAGCTCTGAAAGTTGAGCTGACTTGACTAGAGGAAAGGTTGCCTTTTCTATCAGTAGTAGACCTTACTTGTATCCTTCTAACTTTTTGGCATAAGCCCCATCAACAATCAACGTAAGTAAGCTCCAGTGGAGCCTCTCACAAATCAACATAAGTAAGCTACTATATCTGATCCTAAACTCATATGATTGTGGTTTTCTTCAGGTCAAAGAGTAGAATATGTTAAGTAAGTTACAACACTTTATATAGATATTAGAGAGAAAAGAGAATTTCACTAATGTGTATTAGGCTACTTGCTGAGAAATGTTAAGTTTGACAGAGATTTAACAAACTTTCCACAGCATGTAGGGCTTCCAAACAAAGTTACTTTCTTTAAACCATCTCAGCTGAAACCTCTACCCACCTGTCTGCTGCTGCTACTGCTTTTAAACATTTAGGCCTCAGCTTCAGGGTCTAATTGCAGGCTATAATTTGCTGTGGCCCTATGTTTTCCCAAAGTTCTTGGGTAAGAATGCTGAATGCCTGATTGTTACACTCAAGAACAAACAAGGTAAAAGATTTAGTGTAATTTGAAATTCCCAGTGCCGAGCACTGTTCTAAGACAGGTTTCTTTTAGCAAAAGCTTGCTGATGACTGTCTTCGCAAGGTCATGGCTCTGAAATGGCACTTCTAGCAAGCTCATGTAATAGTGAGGCCATTGGGAAAAAGTGGGGGACCCAGGATCTGCAGTGTCCTACAAATCCAAGAAAACATCTTAATTGTCTTTTGGTTGCAGGCCAGGGAAAACTGAATAGTTTTTATTCTCTCAAGTGGCAAGGAAATTTCTTCCACATTCAGGTCATGTCCTAAATAATGAAAGTCTTCCCTTGCAAACTGAAGATTTCCTGTGGAAACCTTATGACCTTAATGTGCAACTTGCTGGAAAAGGCAAGTTGAGTCCATTTCAGAGAAATATTTACTGGGAGAGTATTATTTTGATCATTTGTGTCACAAATGAGAGCAGAATTTCAAAGAAACTGCAGAGTTGTTCAGTCCTGATGCAAAGGCTACAAAACACAAGGCACCTCTGGCACTGCACCTCAGGTGGACTGTTGACATTTCCAAGTACAAACAAGCACTGATTCGCTGTCTCAACAGAAATTAAAGAAAGCTGAGCAAAGGTCTATTACTGTGCAACCTTTCAGCTTTTTGGTTTTGTGTGTGTTTTATATTTGGCTTTTTATTACTTAATACCAATACAGCTGCTACAAATGAGTCTGCAGAAAAACAGTATGAACATCAAATTCAAACAATCTTATAATAGTTATGATTTACATTTCTGTGATTAAACCACAGATCATGATACAGATGTTGATATTCAAAAAAAATTAGTTGTTTATAAAACAGACATTGGAAATATCTTGGCATAACCTCAGAAGGTACCTCAGTAGACACAGAGTAATTTTTCATTATTCGGACTCTCTCATGATGGATTCTGCTTCCTCTGACGGATGTGTTCATATCTGTGTGTGTGTGTGGGCACACGTATTGTGTGCATGTGTGTGCATGTATGTATTCAATTGCTGAGCATCAGCAATAGCTTTGTAAGTTTCAGTTCTTAGATTTTTAAATATTCTTTATTAATTAGTTCTTCAGGCATGGGGCTAATTTTTAGATTAATGAGCAACAAATAAACAATTGTTCTAGCAGGCTGTTGGTGAAGGCCTCTAATCCCAGCACTATGACAGCCTCAGACAGGAGGATGGCAAGTTCAAGTCCAGCCTAGGTGATTTAACAACTTTAGTGAGACCCTATCTTAAAAAAGACTAGAGATACAAATCAGTGCAAAGGCCCTGGGTACAGTCCCCAGTGACACCAAATGATGCATGAATACCCCAATACCACCAAAAAATGAATGACTAAATGAATACATAAATTAAAGAATGAATAGAAGAAAATGTGATTGTTCTGTCAGGATATTCATAGTTCTTTTAGATACGAGGGTAGCAATTGTTTTGTGGAAGTACTTACTAAACATTGTTTTTTCCTCGATGTTATCCAGTTTTAAAAACTCCAAACATGATATAGTTCTGAAGTAAAAGAGCCTTGGGCTCCCCTCACAGTTTTCTCTAATGTTATTCTGCTTTTACACTACTTGTACATGTGTACACACATGCGTATACACATATGTACCCATAACTAAATGTCTTTATTTAATTTTATCTTGTTCTCAGAGCAAGGTGGAGGAGTATGAGAGGAGAAAGAGGAACAAGGAGAAAATGTGGTCAAGGGAGGGGAGTATTTGAGATGGCCTGTTTCTGCTGTACTGCACCATACAATCTGCTAGTCCTGAACAGCCTTGAATAGGTTGAGCAGAAAATCCACCTGTTCCGGCTGCTATTTGAATGTTCATCCTTTTTGTTATCTACTGGAAAAGAGAACTCAAAAAGAATCAGGCCTGTCCCACATGTGAGCACTTTAAGATTAAGTATTAGGGGATATCATTCTGTCTGTTTTCTCCAGATGAGCCTTTCTCCTTTATCAGTTACTGCACAAGTGTGAATGTACCATGCAGTGATTAGCTAATCATGTTCTCATGTTACTTTCAGAAAAACTATAGTTCAATTTGTGCATGTCAATTTGAACATATAGAATAAGGTATTAGGGTCTAGAACTGCAGGAAACCAGTAATTATAATTTAATTAATTATTTGTACATCTAACAAATTTCTAAATTTGTCTGTTTGGTTTTTTATTTGGTAAAACTGGACTGTAATAAAAATGGGTACACAAAATTATGAGTTGTTTAATTAAATTCTCTAAAATTGAGGAGAGTCCTCAAAGTCCTCAAATTGCTTCAGGCTTCAATAGAAAGTGGGGTCATTTAGGCAGTTTCAGAATGACCTGTTTGGAAGTTTTAACTTCCACACTTTTAACCTTTCCTATATAAATAGAGGAAGAGGCTCATAAACAACCAAATATTTTAGAACGATCAGGAAAATCACAGGCATGAGTTTTGCTTTAAACAATTTCAACATGGAGAAAATACACCAGTTCTGGCTCAGAGGAGTTAGCAAACCCTAAGATTAGCTATTCCTCTGAAGCAAATTTCCTATGTCCTTTTACCTTATAAGTCTTACAAGTTTACTGGAGCAATAAATATCACACAGTAAAAAATACGTTTTTCTGAAAGTGGTCCTAGCATCACTTGAATGAATTCAAATAACAGGAAACTCTTAACTAATTCAAAACCCCAACAGAAGGAAGACGTTTTTATTCTGAGGGATTTGTTGGCATACCAAAGTGAGGTTTACAGAAGTAAAGTGGCCAAAGTAGCCATCAGATTTGTGCAATGTTGCCCACTCATCTTAACTCTTGTTTCTTCATGTTTATTTTTTAAAGGTACTGTAGGAAATAAATCACCAGAGAATCTCTAGAGCAATATCAATGCCGATTATTATTTTGCAGGCTCTTATTAGTGAGGATACCGTCCAGTTAAACGGAGGAGGCTTATTCACAGTCTAACATCCGAGTGGCCAATCTGTCTACCAGTGTCCTGGTGCCATGAAGACAGATGCCTTCAGGGAAAGAATTTCTTATTCTAGAACTTTTTGGTTATGGATTAAAATAAGGATGAGACATTCTCTTTTAGTCTTGGTCCCAATAATTTTTGTACTTGAGCAGAAATATGTTTCTTGGGCTTTGGGTTTTACTTGCTCTAGAATCCTCTCAAAATGCTTTGATTTTGTAACTTGAACA